TATTTTATGTTTCTTATTTGCTTCGTTTTGCTCGCTTTCAAGACCCTTTTTTCAGTTAGCTGAACGTGGTCAACGTTTGGGACTCGTTGTGGATTTGACAGATACTGATAGATATTATGATAAAGATGAGATCGAAGGGCTATGTATACAATATCAAAAAATCAATTGCCCAGGACGAGGGTTAGTTCTTTTCAAACGGCTGGTTTTTATTCTGCGTTTATATCATTGTTACAATGAATGCTATTATAGTTTTGTCGATAGAACAGAGTGTGTGTCTGAATTTAATAAAGCCATACAGGACTATATTGATAAAACTGATGATGAAGGTATGTTTTAATGTGGAAAGTTTTTCCGTGATCCTATTCTTTTTTTTTTACAGAAGCTTTAATTGGTGTGCATTGCACTAATGGTGTTAATCGAAGTGGTTACCTTATTTGTCGTTTTCTTATTGAAAGACTTGGTTGGTCTTCTCATGAAGCTTTAGATGGTGAGTGCATTCCGGTAATTTTCCTTGCTTTTCCATAATATTTCTCACTGTGCTCTATGTTCAGTTTGTGCAAGAACTTCGTTACGTCCAAGTATTTTATCTCAATGACTATCCGTTTAGCGTTTGAGCGAGCAAGAGGCTACCCAATTGAGAAAGGATCTTACGTACAAGCGCTACACAAAGCTGCCATTGATAGTAGGAATAGAAGGTTGGTGTGTTTTGTACTGCTTTTCAAGCAGCTCTGTTCGCGTTTTCCACGTCTGTCAATCTTGCTTATAGGGAAGCATCTGATAGCGACTCTGAAGAGCATCGCCGTAAGTCCAAAAAATCCAAGAAGAAGCGCGAAAAAGACGAAGCGAGCTTCTCGGATAGTGCCAGTCAAATGGGCAACATCATGCAGCAGTTCTTCGCTCAATTGCAGGGTGCTCATCAGGTGAGCTCGAATCTCCTTCTGCTTTTAATATAGCGGTCCGAGCAATTTCTATCATAGTTTTTATCTCTAGGCAGCAGAGTCCGGCAACGGATCTGGCTATGATGGTTCACCAGCTCAGAGTGGTAGCTATGCTTCCCCGGGTCAGCAGCATTGGGCTTATCAAACGAAGGTAATATCTATAACCTTGAATAATTACACTTAAATTTACATTTTCAGCAACAGCCCCAATCTAAAAATACACCAAACACGGAAAGTCCTGTACAAGATGAGGAAATGGAAGAGGGAGAGGTTAGTAGTTTTATTTCGTTCTTTCTTGTTTGCGTCTTTTTTTTTTGTCTTTTGAGAAGTTAATAAGTGAAGAGCGCAGTCATTTATAGAGCCTGGTTTAGTCTACCAGAAGATGGTTAGCAATCATTTTTTT